GTTAAATTATTGGTTGTTGATTTATGGATATATTGAAATTCATCAAAATATCTCGCCATTCAATCGGAACACAAACCCTCTTCTCTGCGCTGATTTGAAGAACAGAGCAATTGTGGAATGTGCCAAGATTCAAGACAGTGTGAAGGAACAGATTCAAAGGAGAACGAAACCTACCTCTGTGTGTCGCTCTCGCCAGGGAGTGCAATTGTTGGTGCAGTGACTACTAGGGTCGCGGTTTGTATCCAACTTCAAATGAAGCTTTTTGTTTTGATATTGAAAATAATAATTCAAAAGCACTGATATTTAATAATAAATAAACTATAGCTTTTGAATATTTTTTAAAAATTAAGAAGTTTTTAATCTATGATAACTAATAATAAGATTTTTTTCATTAAATTATTGAGTATACACCCACTTTAATTATTTCAAGCCTCTTTACACAGAGGAGACATTGCATTTGGTGACATCTTTAATGAGTGCAAACTAATGAATATTGGATACAATAGTTCTCTTTATGAATGGTTAGGTTGATTTTTGGCATCTCTATGACTAGAGGGTGCCATAGTGACTTTTTTAAAGACTACTATCTCATTCTTCTTATACTTAAACTTCTGAACAAGATGATGGCTAGTCAACGTTCTTTTCATTTTAAATTTGCATGGTTAACCCATGAGAGTTGAACTAGACTTGATAAAATAAAAAATAAAAAAAACAAAAGAATGAAATAATAAACAAATTCAAAATAGTAAAGTAAGTCAAATTAAAATATTCTAAATGACCACAATAAAATTACATTCAGAAACATCTTTCATGCAAAACGAAGATTACTCATAAGATTCAATGGTATTTCATGTACCCTCCTTAAAGGTCCTAATTGTTACCTAGATAACTTACAAAAGGATCTATAGAGCAAACTCAAACAAATCCTTGTAAGGAAAAAACTTCTCTAACTCCAAAAATCTAGGTGCAAATGACTTGATTTTGGGGATCAAAACACAAAGAATTTTCATGGGACAACGATTGTCTAACAGAGGAAAAATAAGGTTGGGTTACTCCAAAACGACCAAGGTGAATGGGTCTCCAAATCGGAAGAACAAGAAAAGATGGTAACTAACTTCTATAACGATCTATTCCACAAACTAGATATTAGGGACGCATTTTGCTTGTCACAATGTTTTCCAATCTTGGATGAAACATATGTATAGGAAATTGGGAGATTTATGAGTGAGATGAAACATATGTTTCTACCTTGAATTTTAGTTTCTTAAGAAAATTAATATTATATTTATTTAACTTTAATGCATATGGGATAGAAGGTGTCATATCAATTTTCAAGAATAAAATAAAATATGTTGTTTAAATAAAAATCATATATTACGAACTTGATTAATTTAATTAATTTGTTTTATAATATAAATAAAATGTTGTTAATAAATAAAATAAAAAATAGATAGACAATAGGTTATAAAGAGTTTTGGGTTGAATTCTTGAGCTTAACCCAAAGACTTATTAAAATAAATAAATAAAATAAAACAAAAGGGGGTGGGGGAAGGGGAAGGTTAGGTTTTTAGACGTCTATGGAACCTTTAAAGTGCTTATAGAGGAATTCCTTGAAGGAGACACTGGAATTCCTTGAAGGAGACATTAGAGAATGTAACATCCTAAAATTTTTTACTAATGTAATAATTAATTGTTATTATTATTTTTATATATGGAGATTAATTCTTATGATTATTTTAACCAATTAAATGGATTTTATAAAGTATTTTAGATATTTTTAATGAATATGAATATTTTAATGATAATTATTTACGAAAAAATATTTTATATTTTAGTAGCCCAGAACGGGTCGTTCTGAAATTGGAACGGGCTGTTCCAAACTACTAGAATAACATATAAATCTTGCATCGAAACGGGCCGTTCCAAGGCATGTTTTTATGAGAAAAATTTGAAACCAGAACGGGCCGTTCCGGTTTAAGAACGGGGCGTTCCGGTACACGATTTTATAAGAAAATTTTGAATCCAGAACGGGCCGTTCTGAATGAAGAACGGGCCGTTCCGGTTACATTTTTTACTTAGCATTAATAAGTCCAGAACGGGCCGTTCCGGTGGCATATTTTTGAGGTGACGAAGGAATCCAGAACGGGCCGTTCCGGATTTGGAACAGGCCGTTCTGGCCGCGGCCTGGTGCCTATAAATAGAGCGTTTTGCACTCTTTAAAATTCATTTCTTCATTTTCTAATCTTTTTCCTCCTTTCTCTCTGAAGACGAAGGGGAACCTAGAGGGGGCGACCATCAAGATTCGACTCCTGCTTATCGAGGTAAGGGGGGAGTGAGAAATCTTGCTCTGGGTGTGGGAATATATGCTGGGTAGTGGGATTGGCCCCCAATCCTGTGTTTGCTGTATTTTTT